ATTTAAGACATTACATAAACGAAGACCAGACAGACTGGGACGAATGGATACCCTTCGCAATGTTCACGTATAATACGACGCCACACACAGCTACGGGATATACACCCTTTGAATTAGTCTACGGGCACCAAGCCAATCTACCTATGGCACTGACGAGACCGCCTAAGCCGACATATAATTATGACGATTACGCGCAAGAATTAAAAGAAAGGCTCCGGGCAACAAATCAGCTCGCAAAAGAGCATGTTAAAGAAGAAATAATTAAAGCTAAACAACAATACGATAAAAATACTAGGGAAATAAAATTTAAAGTCGGTGACAAAGTATTAGTGTACGACGAGACACTCCGACGATCTAAAAAACTCGAATCTCTATGGATCGGACCGTATACGATAATTGAAAAGAATTCAGACGTAAATTACACAATCAAAAAGGGGAGGAAAGCAATCCGCATGCACACAAATAAGCTGAAGCAATTTATCGAAAATTAAAATAAACTTACCTTATTCATTGCGGGAACGACCGGGACATTTCATCCGCTCAAAGAAACGACGCGAGTCCTCCACAGAGGCGCGATCCCGCTCTCCACCCGCGCAAGCACCCAGCCGCGACCTCCAGGAAAATTTCCCCGCCGGAAATGGCTTCTACCAACTAATGGACCCAGTAGCCCACGACCTCGAGGAATAAAGACCGCAGGTAAACGAAGATCCTCAAACCGACGACCGTCATAAAGGCGGATTACCACAATAGCAATTATATACGCCAAGAAAAAATGTAAGACCGAAAAGAAAAAACTACCAGAAACCAATATAAATCCGATGTGCAAACCGAAAATAATTCAAGAGCACATCTACGGCACCGCAAGCGGATCGAATAGAACCCCGCAAACCGGCACTCAACGATAATCGCCGGACTCATTGTCAGCCGACATAATATAAAATATTAACAAACTATCATACGCTGTCAACCGTATAAAAATCGGTAGGAGACTGAACGAAAACGCGACGGTCCGCAGATGAGCCTGCAGAAGAATCGCAGAATCGCAGCCTCAGAAGAAGAATACTAACCGATAACAATGATACTCACGGGATATAAAACTAAAGTATATAATATTACAGGATACTCGTCAGCTGGAACAGCCGACGGACCGCGGGTCTCACGGAGTCACATGAAACGGACTCACAATATGAAATTCAAGAATTTCAATACAACCCGGGCCTATACTTTGAAAAAATTGGACAGCTATGCTACGTCAAGGGAACATGGAAATTAGTAATTAAATTAAATCTAACAATATTAAACGACAGATAGGAACAAATATTAAAGTATTTGCAACAAACAGAGACGATGTGCGATACAATGAGATTACAAAATTACTACCATCGAGATGCATGCAATAATCTTGACATTATAGCGAAACGAGAAGCAAAATATCTCAAAAACGTAATGACACAAATTCAGACAATATATAAACCACCGACTAACAGACGCAAAGGACTGATAGACGGAATATGCTCGATAGCGAAAACATTGTTTGGAACAACCCATACAGCACAGAACATTGCAATTACATTGCAGCAATGTTATAATCTTGCAAGTTGCAATGTAATATTGTTGAGACATTATTGGAACATGTAATTGTAATATTTCATGAGAATGTTACAGCAACATTCCAAAAACATTACAAAAAACAGTTTTCGATAATCGTTAGTTCGTTCGTTTATCGCTATGCAGCGCGCGTTGCTTTATCTATCCTATATTTAAGTTTTAATCACGATGGTTATATAAATCTTGCAAAGAGCGGCTAGTAAAATTAAAGGTATAATAGCTATTTTTATAAGTTTACCTTGTCTAGTACGATCCCAACACAAGGAATTCAGATATTGAACTGATTGTTCAGAAATCGGACAAATAAGTGTCTGAAAAAGTTAAAATTATCCATTTATTGTCTATATAAGATGTAAAAAAGTCTAATATTTGTATAAATAAAATTTCAACTTCTATGAATTAAATTATTTAATCATTATCAATTTCTTCAATTTGTAAATTATTTATAAAATAGCGATGTTAATTATAGGAAACAGAATTATAGATAACAGAAAATTGTTTATGTTTGATAAAGGAGAAAGTGTCTGGTTTCGGGGGTGTCGGGCAGAACAGTTAATGATTCTCACACACACAAAATCTGAGCCGCACTTCACTATTATTCGAGCGTTGATATCTCGATTTATTCTTATAATTACAATAGTTCTTCTTATTCTAGGATCACATACAATAGTTTTATAATTTGTCTTTGAGTAAACCGAAGAATCCGCCGAGGAATTCGAGAGAGACCGCAAGAGAATATTACGTCGATTTACGACGTACCGCGTGCTTCACACCACAACTGCGTACAAGGCCCCGGTGTCCCGAGACGGGATAGCACACATCTCACGCGCGTATGCCGATTTAACTTGATGCTGTTAATTTCCTTGAGATGACAAATGACCTTTTGCGACAACCGTAGTAGCGTTCACTTGAGCAGAGCCGCTAGTATCGAAACCGAATTCAGAGAGCTTAAAAACTGTTCTAAAGGCAACGTGCGTCACGATAGACCGGTACTCACAGAATGATCGAGAATCTCCGGAAGGGTCGATATCGATGTAGGAGCGCGGATAAGGTCCTGAGAGCGTGCTTATGATTGGGTGATAGCATTGCGCGAGACAAGTTAGATTGATAGTACAGGCTTCGGGATTGGATCAAGGCTGAGTACAAGAGGGAAAAGGAAGAGAGAGAGAATACTAGAGAGAAGGACCAGAGTGAGTGAGAGGCCGTTGAGGAGATTGCGTAAAAGGAGCGAGATTTTCTGAACAGTTTAATAGTTTCCATTTCTATATAAAACCAAAAATTTGGTAAAATTTTTTTAATATGTAAAATACTTCAAATTTATAAATAAACATTGAGAATATATAAAAACATCCAAGAGGGACGAGAAAAAACTTGTTGTAATTCACAAAATCTTTTTTTCTTATCTCTCTTGGATCGTCTTTATATATTTTCAAAGTTTATCTATTAAATTTGAAGCGTTTTCCATATTTGTAGCAATGCATTTCGATATTACAAATACATTGCACCGTAACATTACTGTAGTCTTACATTGTAATATTTCTAAGGGCCGACATTTCAACGTTGTCGCATACCTTCAGTAACATTGCAGAATCATTTCGCAACTTCCATGCAATATTACAATGTTTCAATGTAAGGTCTATGCAACGTTCCTGCAATCTTTCGGTGCTGTATGGGAATGGACGCGAACGATGAAAAGCATATTAACGAACAATTAAATTTATTAGAAAATAAACAACAAACGCTATAACACGTGGTTCGAACTCAAATAAAAGTAGTAAATAATACTATAGCGCACATTGAAAAATTAGAAAATATAATAGATCGAAATGAGAAACTTTTACAAAAACGGGTAACGGTATATACTGAACGCGCCGAAATAAATGAACATTTTATAATAATCACCGCGGTTATAACAGAGTTAATACGCGACGCGGAAAATACAATCGAATATTTGACATATATACGCAAAGGAGCAATGCATCCGAAATTAATGCCGACAGAAAGGATTATTACACATTTAAAAGAAGCGACGCAACAATTACAACAAGGAATGTATTTCCCGTTCAAAGTTCACGCGGAAGATTGGCTAGCGATAGAAGAATATACCAAAATAAGCGCGTTCTACGATAAAAGAAATGTTTATACCATATTGCGATTCCCATTAATTACACAACCGAGTTACGATATTATAAATGTAATTACATTTCCCGTACCGATGAATAATAACATATTTACCGTAACCGAAATAAATAATAAAATAATTGCAATAGATAAGGAAAAATTAACTTATCTTAGAATAACGGAAAGCGATTTAAAAAATTGTATAGAAATAAATTCCCAATATACGTGTGAAAATACGATACCGATACAGGGTGATTCAAAACAACTTTCTGTCCTTACAATGTCATATACCTGACTCAATTCTAAGACGATTTTTCCTTTGCCAAAATTTTTTCCGAGGCTTAGTTTTCAAATTATAAGCCAAAATAGTTAACGAATTACGGGCCGCGTACGCGAGGCAGGCAGGGGCGGCGCAACTCACCGTCCGATGCTGGTGATTACGTGAAGCGCTCGCTGCGATCAACTGTTTGCTACATGCGATGGGGTGTATGTGTGAGAGAGAATGTATACGCGTATACACACATTCTCTCTCTCTCTCTCTCTCTCTCTCTGTCTTTCTCTTTTATACCCATCGCATGTAGCAAACAGCTGATCGCACACACGCACTCTCTTTCTCTCTCTTTTACACCCATCGCGTGTAGCAAACAGCTGATCGCACACACGCACTCTCTTTCTCTCTCTTTTACACCCATCGCGTGTAGCAAACAGCTGATCGCACACACGCACTCTCTTTCTCTCTCTTTTACACCCATCGCGTGTAGCAAACAGCTGATCGCACACACGCACTCTCTTTCTCTCTCTTTTACACCCATCGCGTGTAGCAAACAGCTGATCGCACACACGCACTCTCTTTCTCTCTCTTTTACACCCATCGCGTGTAGCAAACAGCTGATCGCACACACGCACTCTCTTTCTCTCTCTTTTACACCCATCGCGTGTAGCAAACAGCTGATCGCACACACGCACTCTCTTTCTCTCTCTTTTACACCCATCGCGTGTAGCAAACAGCTGATCGCACACACGCACTCTCTTTCTCTCTCTTTTACACCCATCGCGTGTAGCAAACAGCTGATCGCACACACGCACTCTCTTTCTCTCTCTTTTACACCCATCGCGTGTAGCAAACAGCTGATCGCACACACGCACTCTCTTTCTCTCTCTTTTACACCCATCGCGTGTAGCAAACAGCTGATCGCACACACGCACTCTCTTTCTCTCTCTTTTACACCCATCGCGTGTAGCAAACAGCTGATTGCACACACGCACTCTCTTTCTCTCTCTCTCTCTCTGTCTTTTTCGCGAACGATGAAAAGCATATTAACGAACAATTAAATTTATTAGAAAATAAACAACAAACGCTACAACACGTGGTTCGAACTCAAATAAAAGTAGTAAATAATATTATAGCGCACATTGAAAATATAATAGATCGAAATGAGAAACTTTTACAAAAACGGGTAACGGTATATACTGAACGCGCCGAAATAAATGAACATTTTATAATAAACACCGCGGTTATAACAGAGTTAATACGCGACGCGGAAAATACAATCGAATATTTGACATATGTACGCAAAGGAGCAATGCATCCGAATTTAAGCCGATAGAAACGATTATTACACATTTAAAAGAAGCGACGCAACAATTACAACAAGGAATGTATTTCCCGTTCAAAGTTCACGCGGAAGATTGGCTAGCGATAGAATATACCAAAATAAGCGCGTTTTACGATAAAAGAAATATTTATAGCATATTGCAATTCCCATTAATTATACAACTGAGCTACGATATTATAAACGTAATTACATTTCCCGTACCGATGAATAATAACATATTTACTGTAACCGAAATAAATAATAAAATAATTGCCGTAGATAAGGAAAAATTAACTTATCTTAGAATAACGGAAAGCGATTTAAAAAATTGTATAGAAATAAATTCCCAATATACGTGTGAAAATACGATACCGATATATCGCATGAATCAAAACGCACCGTGCGAAATACAAATGTATACACTCGTTCGGCGCTGCGTTGCTAAGGAGCGAGCAGTAAAAGGGGGACCGTAGGCGTGAGTCAAGAAATCCGGCCGAAAGTTGCATTTAAATCCCAGCACTGGTATACACTATCACAACACAATTGTAACATACAACTGATAAGGTCGAAAAATGCGATCT